GTGGTTGTTGGAATGTGTGCAGGACTGGTCTTCATGGTAGTAGACGGCTGTGTAAGCAAGTTCCAACCGTTTCAGCCATCATCACATAAGATAGTATCGCATCGAGAGCCCTTGAATTGGTACTTCGGCGTATCAAGGAGAATGTTGTTTCTTGTTTGCGGTATGGTGTGGATCATAAAGGATCCATTTTTCAGACCCACATTTGTGTCCTCTACTCTTGTAGCGGCGACACATGCTTTGGAGGCAGCTACCATCGCGGCCTTAGTTTTGGGCTGTTCAAGGCGGGCTTGTTCTTCGATTTGTCAAGATCTCATGCTTCTTCATAGTATCGGTGGCCTCGCAGACAAGTTTGAAGATGTCTTAGTGGATACTTTTGAGCTTTAGTTTCATATTGCTTTCCCTTTATTATGTATCTCCACCCAAGAATTTATCTTGGTTCATCTCCTCCAGAAATGGAGTTGAGTCATTTTAATATTAAAGTTGGTTTACAAAAAAAAAAAAAAAACAAGCAAGAACTAAGCAAGACACAACATTAAAACAGAAATGAAACTACAAAAACAAGAACATACAATGAACGAGATGGCTCGATCGGATGGCTGGTCGATTACTTGTCTGGTTCACTCGGACACTCGATCGTTTCCACTGCTCGGATCCTCAAGCTCGATCATATGCATCATGTACACTTGGTCGATTAAGCCTGTTTTGCTCCTTTTCCCTCTGGTAAACACCTGTTTATGCACAAAATCTACAATGCATGCAATGCAAGGCCTAGATACTACAAATGAAGCAGAATAAGGTAAATATGTATAAATGATCAAGTAATGAGACCTAGAATGACAAAAACAATGCATAAAACTAGTGCTAAAATGAGTAAAAACCAGACACATCAACTCCCCCAAACTTATTCTTTGCTTGGCCTCAAGCAAATTCAAAGTAGGAAGAGAGGTTTAAAGCTGGGGATTCAGAACTAATACTTGCTGCTAAAGTAGTTAAATCAATGGCCTTGTCTATAGTTCTAGAATGCAAATCCTATAATACTCTGAAGACTTTAGCCATGCTTATCTCAACACAAGATGTCATTAGTCATAGAATCTAGGCAAGCATTCAAATCAACCATTCCTATTAACATTCTTTTAAATAGTAACCATGAATCTGGATGTGAAATGAATTCAAACTCATTTGGCTAGGTATGAAAAGGTTTAAAAGACAAAGAGGGTCTCTTTTTAATGAGGGTTTGATCGTTTAAGTGTTGAGATCTCTCAATAAACAAGATTGAGCTTTTGGGAGAATGATAAAGGTAAGGACCAACAAATACATACATGAATAACATCTTGACTACCCAAAGGCCCCAAGTGATATCCTAAATGTCTAAACCTATATGGTCCTATTCTACCCTTTAACTCTTCTCATCCCATTTTCCCTTTTTGTTCTAAGTCTTAGGAGAGTTTCTTATGAATAACTAGTGGATAGGGGTTTTTCTTAATAAACACTATGGTTCTCTTCTTCCAATTACTTAAGACATCACAGCTTTTTGCTATTCTCATCCTTTTCTTTCTTTTCTTTAAAATCCAGAACCATTTTTACTATACATTGCATTCTCCACACATCTTTCACTAGAACTTTTAAACTTTTCTGAAACTTTTACTCTCCTAAAGACTCAACTCATTCCCTTTTCATTTCTTTCTCTTTCTTTTTAACCATTCCAACAAATCCCAAAATCCAAGTAAAATCTATCCTAGTCCTATCTTATCTGAAAAATGCAAATCAGAACTACTCAAGATCATATTCCTGTCGGCTCAAACCTAACACGTTCTCTTAAAACTCAATCCAATAAAATAGGCCTTCCACTCAGAATTAATACAAGGTTTGAAGGAACGGTCAAGGTTTTTAGGCCTTGGTAGTAAGAAGCACCGGTTTGTCAGTGACACGAGGTGTCTTTGTCTCCGTAGATTCAAGTCGTGGAGCTATCATGTCAGTGGTGTCTGGAACCGGAAGGAGAGTGATGCGTTTTCCTTCATATGAAAAACTATAAGTGTTAGCAAACCCGTCATGTGCCGTTCGCCTATCATTCTCCCAAGGTTGATCGAGTAGTACGTAACACGCATACATCGGTAGAACGTCACAGTACACTACATCTTTATAGTTGATGCCAATTGAAAATGAAACATGAAAACGCTTAGACACATATATCTTAGCATTAGAATTTAACCAAGCAAGACGGTACGGAGCTTAATGTGGTTCGGTAAGAAGAGCAAGCTTGGTCACAACTTCTTCTGAAACTATGTTTGTGTAGCTACCCGGATCAATAATAAGACGACATATGTTTCCTCGAATTATGCATGTGGTACAAAAGATATTAGTTGAAAGCCAAGACTCTTCTCTTCCAACTGGTGCCAAACAACTGCATTGAAAAACAAGAGCAAGTTCGTGATTGCCGGCCAAAAATTCTTATGTTTCTTCACAAGCTTTTTCTTCAAAATAAATCTGCTCGTCGTCAAGAAGTAACCCCTGTTTCCCTTGATGAGGACAGGAAGACTGAGGATGGCCAACTTCATTACAACTGAAACACTTGACATTCATAGGGCGAGATTGTCATGTTGATGAGGTGTTGTCACTAGCCTCTTTAAGTCGAGGCTGATCACTCACTCGAGTATTACTAGTCTCTGGAAAAGAACTGAGACGAGTACGTGAGGTTCCCCAAGCAAGCAGTAGAGTACGAGATTGTTGTTCAATGAGCAAAGCCCGTTGGTGAGCTTCAGATACAGTTGTAGGATCAAACTAAAGTAATGTATAAACTTTATGAGTAGTTTTATGGAAGAAACGTTTTGTGTAGATGGCGTTCAATATTTCCCAAGTACCCATCCTCTCCTTGCCAACTCAAACTCTCTGTTCTTTGACCTGCTGCCACCATGCTGAAGATCCGCCCTTGAAACGAGTTGCTTCGAAAGCCACACACATGTTGTTCGGTACTTGTTTGAATGCTAAAATTTCTTCTACCGAATTGATCCAATCCAACAACTCATATAGTTGTAATCTACCAGAAAATTTAGGAATATCAACTTTGAAAATTTATTCCCAACGATTGTCATCACCTCTTGGTACCATCAGAACACCTTGACGTTGATGGTGGTCACCAAGTTCTGTAAACGGGTTGTTATCAACGACTTCGTATTCTTCATCCTTTTCTTCTGAATTGTCTTCAGGCTAAGGTATCTTAGGAGGTGTTGCTGAACACGAACCAAAGTCCCGACTGCTGTCTCCACTGATTCACGCAGCACGTCACGCATACCACGTTGAAATTCTGAAAACATGTCACGCATCGCTTCTAGTTGCTCTTCGTGCTGCTGTTGAAGGCTTTTCTTAGGAGGCATGAGTAGGATCGCTTTGTCTCTGATACCAACTAATGTAGTGGATAAAGACTAGAGGCACTCAGTATCTAAGATCACTGCTCGAAAATAGTTTGCTATGAACTCAAGCTTTCTTATCAATGATATATATATTATATTTATAAATTAATTATTCTTATTAATTCTTTTCAAACAAAACCACATATTTGATTGGCTTATATTTTTAAAAAATACTTTATCAATAAGAATAAAAATATCATTAAATTACTATACAAATTTATTTCTAACATAATTAAATTTTTTAATAATATATATATAATAATAATAATAAAAATAAAATAACAGCTACAACTCTTAATGTTGTTTGTTACCAATTAGATTTTAAGAATTAAAGTTTCTACAGTCAAAGTATCTACAACAAAATTCTCTCCAACTAAAATTTAAAATCAAAGTCATTACAGCACAATGTAACAATTGTTACCAATCAGCCTCTATATCACGTGCTTTAATATTTTCATAAAAGCTTTTTAAGAAAATTTATCTCAATAAAAAGTTTCTATCCCTAAATATCTACAATGAGACACTAAGACCATCTCCAATGGTAAGCACCCATAAAAGATGCTTACCAAAAAGTTTTATAATAAATTATGATAATTTGTGATTTAAGCATGCTTAAAGAAAACGTTAGGAATTCCGACGACCATTTCCGACGAAACAATTGGTCGGAAAATTTGCGACAAATGTCCGACTAATTTCCGACTACTACCCGAGGACGGTAATTTAGTCGGAAACTCGTCGGAAAATTGAACAAATTTCCGACGAAACCTTGTCGTCGGAAAGTCGAAGGAAAAAAGTCGTCGGAAACACAAACATTGTACGAGGAAACAAGTCGTCAGAATTTCGTCGGGCGAGAGTAGTCGAAAATCCGTCGGAAAAAGTTGCAAAGTACACGTGTGTTATTTCGACAATTTTCCGACGAATTTTCTGACAATATTCCGTCGAATCTCGTCGGAAATTACTCGGAAAAGAGTTCAACTTATTTCCGACTAAATTCCGACAAAATCTCGACGGAAAAGCTGAAAATAATTGAGCAGTTTTCCGACGAATTTCCGACAAAATATAAAAAAATTTCCAACTAATTTCCGTCGAATGTCGTCGTAAATTACTCGGAAAAAAGTTCAACTTATTTCCGACTAATTTCCGACAAAATCTCGTCGGAATCTTCGTCGGAAATGTTGAAAATAATTGAGCAATTTTCCGACTAATTTCCGACAAAATTTAAAAAAATTTCCGACTAATTGCCGACTAATGTCGTCGGAAGTCCGACGAATTTCTTACTAAACTGTTCTCGGAAATATTTGGTATATAATAAACGGGATTCCAATTTTTTCAATCATTTGCATCCTTGTTAACTTAAAAAATTCGTATATACATAAAAAAGAATGGCTTCCAATATTTATAAGGTTCGAGAGTGGATGTGTCAACGCTTAGATGAAGAAACTGGAGATATGCGGAGAGAATTTAAAGAAGGATTAACAGAGTTTATGCGATTTGCATCAAATCAAGAAATGACGAGGACCGAAGGCATTATGGCATGTCCATGTGTGAAATGTGGTAACGAAGCGTGATCCGGAAACGGGCCTTCTCCCCGATATGGTGACTTTCATGGAAGAGTCACACCGTCGCAAATCGGATGGAACGTTTGTGGATAAAAAGGCGGAAGCAATTGCTCAAAGATGTAGAGCTGCACATGAGGAGAAGCTCACCCAACTATCTCAACTTTCAGATACTCCTCCAGATTACCAATTATCCGTCGCCGAGAAAGATGAAATATTTCGCTCGGTAATTTTTATATCTTTTATTATTATTATTTTTAAAACTTATAATGATTAATATCTAATTAATATAAATTTTTGTAGCAAGTGGAGATTAAAAAGGGACGTAGATTTGGAGTTGGATCAATACCTTTTGACGATGTTGGAGCAGGATCAAGCTCAGCTTCACATGCATCACAAGCAGAAATGACTGCAGCAAATGAGCAAATAGCAGCATTAAAATCTGAAATGAAGCAAATGCATTTTTGGTGTGAGTTGATGGTCCGACAATATCCAAACGCCGTTCCTCTTCCAGGTCCAAGTTCGCAAAATCCAACTGGACAGAGTGAATCAGATAACTTTGATTTCGATTTTGGTCGATCATGAACAATTTGTTGTATGTTTTTAATAAGTTTGTAGAACTTTAAATTTTAATTCAGTTTTTGTATTATAGAAATATTTTTAAATAGTTTTCTTTAAATTATTAAATAGTTTTCTTTAAATATTTTTCTTTTTCTTATATTTTTTAAAAAAATTTATAAAATATTCCGACTAATTTCCGACGTATTTGAAGTCGCTGTCGGAAATTAGACGGAAAACTTAATCGGGAATATTTCCGACGAATATCCGACTACCGCTATTTCCGACAAATTTCCGACTATTTTTGCGACTATTTTCCGACGAATTTTTCCGACTACTTTTCCGATCAAAAACCGGCGATATTTCCCGACGCTATTCCGACGACATTTTCCGACAAAACCTTCTGACTAATTTCCGACGAGCTTTTCCGACGAAATTTCTCCTAACTGGTTCGTCGGAAGTTTCTGACCAATTTCCGACGAATCTTCGTTTCCGACCAAGGATTTCCGAGGAGTTTGTTTTCGTCGGAAATTAGTCGGAATTGCGTTTTTCCGACCAATTTCCGACTATATCTGTCGTCGGAATATCTTTTGTTTTCTTGTAGTGGCATCTTTACATGAACTTTTAAAAATTTGGGTGTCCAATGGTGAGCACCCAAAGGTTCTTAAAAAAATTTCATTGTTGTGGTATGCACACTTGATAACGATGTTCTCCAAGTTGTGCAAAGCTTTCCATTACAAACAACCTATCTATGAGATGTATCCAATATATGTGTAGACGAGTCTGATATTAAACAGGATATATCATCTTTTCAGCCTCGGTGTTGGAAGATCTATATGACATTATTGTGCTTTGTTGTTCTCCTCAAGTCCTGTTTTGGTTTTTGCTCGGTTCTCCTCAAGGATGTCTTTGGTTTTTTGTTCAGTTCTCATCTAATCTTATCAACTTGGTTTTTGTTTTAGACTGCAAAAGTCACAGACAAGAACTCCTCAATACCCACACATGCAATCAAATCACCATTACATCAAACTGAGTCATTAAACGACCACAAACTGATTCATAAACTCCGCACAACAAACTGATCAAGACCAATTTTGCTCGAACACAAATTGAGTTATAAACTCAGCACACAAAGAAGTTGATTAAGTAAAGTATAATCAAGGAGGGTCTTACTTTAGCAAAGAGTTTAGAGCAATCATACCGAAGAGATTTACTACACCTAGGCTAATGACCATTGCTCTCTCGGATGTATTTGTTTTACTGTGAAGAAAGGAAAATTCCCGTATCAAAACAAGAAACACAAATGCAATACAAACTTCTCATATGTGTTAGACATTAAAATCCATGTTCAAACATTAAATTTGAGCGTCAACCAGTAGTGAGAGAAAACATGTTGGATTTATAGTGAGAGAATACAGAACAAACCAGTAACACAACAAGATGGGCCAGAACACATGTACATCCAAGAATGAGAAGAAAGTCATCAAAAATGCAACAACGAAAGGCTAGTCGCTTCATACATGAATCAAGATTGGCAAAAAAGAAAAAATATCATGAGAACTCAAAACTAAAGCATTATACAATTTTCAAACCTAAATCAGATCTCATACGAGTAAGAAACATAACAATCATCAATCAAGTTGCATCAAAAGAACCGTCTATCATCTAAACTAATATACAAATTACCAGAACTAGAACAAAATTGGCAAAAAAACACAAACTTTTCATGAGAGAAGTCAAACCCATAAATCAGATTCAATTTCCTTTTAAAGATTCTATGAAATCGCCAAAGCTCTCAAATTCAACAGGGTTGGTATAGAAATTGAATCATACCCGCGCCCATGTCTTCTTTGACGATCATCATCATCGCTTTAACAAAATTTGATGGTTAAATATACCTTGAATCCTGGAGCTTTGTTGCTCGTTGAAAGAAGAGAGAGAGAGAGAGAGAGAGAGAGAGAGAGAGAGAGAGAGAGAGAGA